CTCTCTCTCTGTCTCCCCCTCCTCTCTTCAAATCAGGATATAAGATCTCAGCTATTACTGCAGCACCGTGTCTGTCTGCTTCCTGCCATGATGATCATGGACTGATCTCTAAAACTGTAAGTTGTGTTGGTCACATGTCTCTTCAGAGTGCATAGACCAGTGGCCACGAGGGACACTGTTTGGGAAAACTATGGAAGGCAGTAAAACAATTACTTTTTTCAGGTATTATAAGTGTACACTGTACAGACTAGTATAAAGATGGAATCTGGCCAAGGCAGAGGATTGTAGACTGCCGGAAGTGGAGCAGGACTTAATGTTCCTAGTTGAACTTTTCTGCCCTTGCCAGTCCTGTTCATTGATAGCCTAGTCAACTAACATTTTCTACTACCTTTTTTTTGGCTTTTTCCCTAAATAGTCCTCACTATCCCTGGGTAATTGGGAATGTACGTTAAGAATGGTCACAAAATTGGCAAGGCTCCGAAAGCTGGGGCAGCTAGACTTTCTGACTAGAGATGGTAGCAAAGGCATAGGCCCAAGCGGCCATTTTGGCAGGAGCACAAAATTCCGTTATTGCCGTTAGTTGACTCCACCTAACGTGTTCCACTAAGAATCGTTTGAGGCTACAGTAAGGCAGCCCCCTACCTATTGCTGGTGTTTCCAGCAAAACTAAATCCCAGAACCCTCACTACACCGAAGACATCAGGCCAGAAATCCTTCGGCTCTGGGGCTCACATTACTTGTGGGATTAAGCGGTCCTCTGAAAACCAAACCACATTTGAAAAGCTGTTCCGATGGCAAGTGAAACTCCCTTCTGCTTAGTCACATGCTCAACCCCAGTACTAGGACCAGCGAAAGCACAGCTCTCTTGCTGGAAGAGGTGGGTGGCTCTGAAAAGAGCCTTTGGGTCAAGAGTGAGATGGGCGCGCTCACTTGGAGCTGGTGTACTTGGTGACGGCCTTGGTGCCCTCGGACACCGCGTGCTTGGCCAGCTCCCCGGGCAGCAGCAGGCGCACAGCCGTCTGGATCTCCCGGGACGTGATGGTCGAGCGCTTGTTGTAATGCGCCAGGCGAGAAGCCTCGCCCGCGATGCGCTCGAAGATGTCCGTCACGAAGGAATTCATGATGCTCATGGCCTTTGAGGAGATGCCGGTGTCCGGATGCACCTGCTTCAGCACTTTATAAATGTAGATGGAGTAGCTCTCTTTTCGACATCTCTTCCGTTTTCGACCCTCCTTCTTCTGAGTCTTCGTGACCGCTTTCTTGAAGCCTTTCTTGGAAATGGTAGTGCCCTTGACTGACACCTCCGGCATAGCGAAAGTAACCTTTCACAGCCTAACGGCCGAAAACACTTCCAACTGCTGAGAAAACACAGTCCACTAGAAGCTGAGAAGAGTGGTATTTATAGGCGTGGACCTCGAATGACGTATGGACACACGTTGTCTGATTGGATAATAAGTGCTCTGCATATGCAAATAAGGGGAATTCAAGTAGTGCTTTCTGATTGGCTAGTCCATAATCAATCAGCCAATCAGGTGGCAATTAAGGACCTTCCATCAGACTATAAATAGGCCTGGAAGCGCTCGCTCCCTTACGCTTTTCTTAAGGCTTTTGAAGAAATCATGTCCGGGCGTGCAAAGCAGGGCGGCAAGGCTCGTGCCAAGGCGAAGTCCCGTTCTTTCAGAGCAGGATTGCAGTTCCCCGTGGGTCGTGTTCATAGGCTTCTTCGCCAAGGGAATTATGCAGAGCGCATTGGGGCTGGCACACCAGTTTACCTGGCGGCCGTGCTGGAGTACCTGACAGCCGAGATCCTGGAGCTGGCTGGCAACGCGGCCCGCGACAACAAGAAGACCCGCATCATCCCGCGCCACCTGCAGCTGGCCATCCGCAACGACGAGGAGCTCAACAAGCTCCTGGGACGCGTGACCATCGCGCAGGGCGGCGTCCTGCCCAACATCCAGGCCGTGCTGCTGCCCAAGAAGACCGAGACCCACCACAAGGCTCAGGCCAAGTGACTCCAGGAGCAAGTGACTGCTGTTAGTACTTCAAAACAAACGGCTCTTTTCAGAGCCACCTTCATTTTCATAAAAAGCTGTGCATGAATGACATTGGAGGGCAGTCAAATTTTCAGATATTTACCATGTAGGAAACAACTCCCATGTGCTGAAATTTTGGCCAGCGGTAACGTGTTATTAGCTTATAGCAGTGGTAAGACTGTTCCTGGGAAAATTACATGACACGATTAGGATAGTGTGAAGCTCTAGTACTGTTGCGGCGGGTTATGGAGTAAAACTGCCACTGAATTAAAAGTAGGCCATTAACTCCGTTCTCTCCTGGCAATGACCAGGCTCTACAACTTCGCAAAATTGTGTTATAAACCTGTCAGTACCGTGTCACCATTACAAGAAAAAAGTCCTCACAAAGTGAGCTAGAAAATGTTGGCCAAAAAAGTCAGACACATTTGGAAGACAGAGTTACTCCTGTCAGTTTTTAACAGCAGGAGGACAAGTCCTAAGATTTTTATGAGTGTTTGCATGTGTGGTATGTCCCTATGGTATGAACATTCAGTAGCTACAGAGGCCAGATATGGGGTTAGACCCCTTACTGGAACTACTGGCCATTGAGAACTTCAATGAAGGTACTACCAAACAAAGATCCTCTGCAAGAGCAGGAAGTACTTTCAACAGCTGTGTCACCTGTGCAGTCCAATTGTCATAATTTTTTTATGAAATCCAGGAATGAACATTTTACAAGTTTTGGCTAGAAAATAGAGCCATCTAGTTTGTTCATCTGTAAGCAAAAGAAATTGGGATGCCACAGTAAGAATTATCACATCTTCATAATTGATGCTGACCACTTCAGTATGTAAAGGTTATACTTGGTGTTTCATTTCCTTGTAAGCACTCTCATATAACTTTGCTTCAGAGTTGAAGACCACCAGGAACAGACCCCCACCAAACAAAACCTCCATTTAAAAATAAAGTTTATTTATAGAAATCTTGTGAGAACTAAGAACAGTTTTGACAACAACATGAGAACTGCTGCAAAAGGGAAAAATGGCTGAAAGACACAAACAACAGCTGTCTAAATTGTTGAGGATTTTTCTGCTATGTGAGGCATTATCGTGTTTTTTGTTTTGTTTTGTTTTGTTTCTGAACAAGCAGCAGTTAAGTGAGATTACAGAAGGAGAATAAGTTTCTGGTTAATATTTTGGGATAACAATTACATAATAAGGGGAAGCAGAAAACTTTTGGGAGATGAGCCATGTGGCTCTGAGATCAGTCTCCTCTTTAAGTTGCTGTCAAGACTCAACAGCTGATAGGGCTGACCTTAGAGTTGTGGTCTAGGCATCCTGTGGTTGATAATCCTTAAACTAAAATGAGGTTCTGCTGAGTCCTAGGTATTTCCTTTTTACACAGAAGTTTAATTTGAAACTCAGTTTGAAACAGAGATAGTTTTTAACCATAACATTTATGGTAAATATACTCCTACATATATTTTACTCCTCATATGATTTGTGACAATTCTTGAGAACAAGTGAAAAGTCTTAGAGAAGAGGTGATTTTATCTCCTGTGCAAATTTATGGATTTCTATTAGGAACCACTGAAGTCAGAACAATTGAATACTATCTTCACATTATGAAACAAAATAAATCTCAATGTAAAGTTCTGCCTTCAGATTGTTTTGTATAAGAATAAAATTCTTAAAATTAGGACAGATCTCCCTATGTAGGCAGAGCTGACCTTGAACTGGCTCTCCTTTCTCAACCTGTTGTGAGCTGCTTTATACATGTTTACTACCATACTCAAATTTGGGAGGACTATGTATTGAAAAGGTCTAAAAAAAATCTGTTGGTGAAGGGACCAGACCCTCACCCAGCCCCCTGCTTTAGCAGCGATGACAGGCTGCAGAAAAGACTCAGAAAGAGGTAAGCCTCTGAATCAGCAAAATGTGCTGAGCTTCCTGACCTTGGCAACCCCCTAGTCACTAGTAGGTCAGATACCCTCCATGTGGCAAGGAACCAATCAGAAGTTAGGGGTGGACTCTGGATGTGCTTTATGGTAGCAGTGGTTTACAGAGAATAGCAACTGCCCAGGGAGGGCCTGTAGGCCATAGCAACCAGTTGACCAATCAACACAGGACAGGTAGCCCAAGCCCAATTCTGAGACTGTTGCCACCCCAGACACTTCCCTTGCTCTACCCCAATAAATCCCTTGCTTCAAGGTCCCTCTGGGTCCTTCTTGCTCCACCCACTGAGTCACATGGATGGAAGACCCGAGTTAATACAATTAACTCGTGAATTATTAAACCTTTGCTTTTGCATTGTCGGCTCCTTGGTGATCTATTTGGGGGTCTCTTGAACTTGGCATAACAATGGAAGTGAAATCCAAGACTTTTGAGCAAATGTCATTAGCAGAGATTTTAATACTACCTAGTACTGACTGCAAAAGAGCACTAGGGGATGTAATATTCCCAAGGAGATGTAAAATTTAAAGAAAGGCCTGATACTGAATAGAACAAAGGATATGGTACTCTCAGGGCAAGACCCCACCCAGCTAACCCTGAAACCTATGATAGGAAATTCCTCTGATCTGAACAACAGAAAGCTTATGCAAATGTAATTCAAGGATTTGGCCAGTTTTCAGCCCCAGCAGGAAGCAGAGCTTATCAGCTTTGTTTTATCAAGAAAAATATTGTATAAAGCGGTTGTAGAATCTTCCTCTGCAGTTAAAGAAAGCTGCTAAAGCCAGGCATGTGACATGGAAGGCCCTAAATGGAGGCCAAGAGTGGACATTGCATGAAGCTGTGATATTGAAGCCTGGATTGCATTGGAGACTAAAAGATATTGGAGATACCAGAGCCATGGGATATCTACCAAGGAGAGCTACAGACAGGGCATTGAACCAGCCCAAGAGGGAGAACTGTGTTACAGTCAACAAAGCTGGAAAAAGTGGGAGATATAAAGAGCCATCTAATAAGCCTTTTGATGTTATTGGACATAGGGATACAGAATTTGGAGTTTGCTCTGCTGGGTTTCTGTCTTGCTTTGGTCCAGTATTTTCTCACTATTCTCCCTTTCCTCACTTTTGGAATAAAAATGCATATTACTGTGCCATTTAAATACACTATTTGAATCAAAATGGAAGACAGCTGTGTCCTGTTTGTAAACTCTACACCTAAAATTTGCTGGTCCAGAAGATTTGGAAGAAGAGGATAGAAAATATACATTTCAGATAAAATCAACACTCTAATACTTTTTTGTACTTTTAATATCAAGAATGATATTCAGTGGAAATAATTTAGTGAAATCATTATTTGATAATAAACATCTCTTGGAAGTTGTAATAATTATTATGTTGAAAATGGAAAATACATCTTTATCTAAAACAAGAAAAATATTTCAGAGACAGAAAGGGACACATCTGTGATGAATGTGTATTTTAAAATATCTGTCTTACAAAAAGATATACCCCATTATGTATTTCTATGTTACAAACACAATAAAACACAACTTACATGTTAATAGCCAAACCATAAACCCCCAACCCTTTGTTACTGGTTTCTTTTAGCTGAGTCTCTCCTTCCACTGTATTCACTTATGTCTTTTTTATTTAGTTTGTCTTTCCCTCTGAATCTGTCTACCTGTTCTCTAATTAGCAATTACTTGCTGCACAAACAAGTATTCTAGTCAAATGTCTGTTATTTTGTAAGTCATAAAATGGATTATAAGGCAGCAACTTTATGCCTTTGGTTTAAATCATTGGAAAACAAGAATGACCCCTTACTTAATTGCAGCTTTTAAAATCTTGGGGAGTTTCTAGATCGGTCCAGGCATTGCATTCAACTGGTCCAGAAAGAATAGAATATAAGAAATGGTTCTCATGGGAACCATATGACTACAGAATGGAGGAGACTATCAGAGATCTTTAATCAGAGGGAAGTTGTAATTCGATGTGTGTGTGTGTGTGTGTGTGTGTGTGTGTGTGTGTGTGAATTTTCAAATGTGCTTTAAAAGATTCTGACTTACAGTTTCAGATACATGAAGGCTCCCTTTGCATCCATGTATATTGCTAAACAAACCACAGGATATAAACTTTAATATCTGCCTGCCACAGTGCATTGGGCATCTTGTTAGACTTTCAAGAAGGAAGGAAAAAAGAAAAAATGAAGAGGGAGAAAGGGGGAGATAAGGAAGAAGGTGGGGACAGGTGAAGGAAAAGTAATCTTATCAAGGAAATCACAGAAATAATAGCCAAAGTAAGAATGCAGGCCTTCATGTATTTGTAGTTTTGTGAAGGTGTGGCAATGACTACTGGGATGAGACAAGAATGTATTTCCTTTCATCTTGATTCTTTAATGCATCATGGTGTTTCAACGACTCTCCTTAAGGTTACCAATGTTGATCAGTGGTTTCTCTCTATACTTATGTTACCTAATGAATTTTATCCTTTTCTTTTTCTTTCTTGCTTGCTTTGTTTCTTTTTCCTTTCTTAATTGATTCTTTGAACAGATACAGTTTATTTTCTGATTTCTCTTTCAGTGCTGAGAATTAAACCCAAGGCTTTGGACAAGCGGGGCAAGCACTTCCCAGTGATTGGCATTCCCTGCCCTATTTTTCATGTTTTAAAAATTAGGATAAAGGTAAGGCTTCATCATGACATTTCATATGTCTATCATACACCTTGCTCATATTTAATCTCCATTATCTTCTCTTGTTTCTCCATCCTCTTTCACTCACAAAAGGCCAACAACCAGGTCTGACTTGCTGCTCCACAGCTGAAGCAGGAGGGTCATATGTTCTAGGACTGCCTGGGCATCTTAGTGAAACCCTTGCTAAGTACACAGTGTTAAAAGCGGGCTGGGGATATAGCTCTGCTGTAACACTAACCTAACACAGGTGATCCTGGGAGAGAAAAAGAAAAAGTAGAGACAGGTTTGATTCTTGCTATCGGGGTCTGTCCAGAGCTTATCCCAAGATGCAACTGGCTTCCCCAAGGCAAGCAATCCAAGAAA